ACTACAGCTACAATTAATGCATTTCCAAAGAAACCTTTCATAGGAGTACTCCTTGATTTGCTCTACAAATACTCGGAATACTTCGGGCACCATTGGGAAAATTGTCCAGTACTGACCGCTGGGTCCGAGAAGTTCTTGGCCTCTCTTGTAAACTATTACATGTACGAGCGTTTGTAAAAATGTGTTAAAATTCCATTCTTAAGAAAAGAAATCTTGCATTTCGATGGTTTTTTTTTTTATTTTTAATTATTTATTTAATTTTTTTTTTTTTGCAAATTCACCTTTAGCCAATAAAAAAGTTTTTTTCTTTATTTCATGGCCTTTTAAACGTGATGATTTTTTTTAGTAGTCCACATGTACCTGTAGGTGTAAAGATTCCTCAACCTTCGCTAGCCAAAGGTTTCCGATCCACAACAGTAGATTTGGGATCGGAAAACTTTGGCTAGTAAGGATTAGATATATACGCTAATTTTAGACTGATTATTTTAATACCGAATCCGACGGCAGTATCTCATCCGTATATCGGCCAAAATATTAAAAAGAAGATGTGATCAGTCAAATTTTAACTTAAAAAATGAAATGTTTCTCTTCGACAATCAATACGCTACTTTATTGTTCAATATAAAATTAAGCGATATATTCCAACAATATTTGTTTTGTAAAAACAAATAACTCTTAATAAAAAAAAAATAAATATGCTGAAAGCTATAACGTCTTTTATTGGTAAAATAACTTTTATGTAAATCTTCACAAGTGATAATCATTCTCTTCAAAACCTCATTTGTATTTTTATTTATAATTGAAGATTCTGCAAGTTTCGATAAAATCGTTATGCATGGACCGAAGAAATAAGAAAATGGGGGGGGGGGGGGGTTGTCGTTATTAAATACAAACATAAAATGACACCCTGTCTGAAAAATCAAATAATTATTTTCATTGCGGTTTTAGGTTTAAATTTGAAATTTAAAATAAATAAGTTGTAAGCTAAGATAATAAATTTAGTTTGTACCATTCCACATGAAAGAATTATTCAAACAAAATAAACAGGATAAAATCACCATCAAAACTTGAATTCAACATTAAAGATGGTTGCATGAATATTATGGCGATATATACGATAACCATTGCTACATACACCGTGTGAATATTCATCTTCAAAACCACGTCTTTTCAGCACGTAATCGCAAGTGCGCTGTGGGGAAATGGGTAACGTCATCAAATTGTAACAAACGTAATGCTACTATTACGTCACAGACGGCGTGATAGGCAAAAAGTTAATGAAGAAAGCAAATTATAATTTTTCTGCGGAGTTCCGTTTGTGATCTTCTTCAGTTTTGCTCTGTTTCAGTTTTGCTCGCCTTCAAATTTGGATTAATTCTTAAGGACAAGAGATGAAAAAAATGAACCTCTGTATTGGTAAATATTTATTGACACATTTTGGTCGTAAATGACGAGGAACATTTGCAAAAAATAATATTAGATGAGTTTGTAGACAGTGGGACATTATTGGACCCTATTTATTTGTACTTTTTTGCTGAAATCATTGGTATAACGAAAGAAAAACAGACCTGGAATCATTGGAATGTTTGTTAAAATCTAGTCTATTGCAGTATGCAGATTATAAACTTACCCTTTTAGAAAGTATAAAATCCTCTCTTTTATGCGCTCTTTAACTTGTCAATAAATTTAACTTCTAAATATTCTAGTCTAAGACTCGTTGTATAAAAATGGCTCGATGTTTCAACATAATGTATATATTTGTCAAAATTTAAATGCTCGTTGGTCAAAGGGCCTTTTATGCATTGGGTTTAAGATTCTGAACCTAATATTTTGATTCAACTCGACTTTCATTCCAAGCTTAATGAAATAAAAATATATTAGCTGGTGGTCAAAAGATTGATGACATCGGCCGGCAAATTACAGTACTTAGTGAAATCAATAATTTCCCCCCAAAATAACCCATCTGTCAATTCCTTTCCCCTATTATTTCCTATTTAAGATCTTAATTTTTTATCTTGTTTCGAGCAATAAGGATATACCTGAAGCAGCAAGAATTGTAAAATGTAAATGCAAATGGTGACTTCAAAAAGACAGAGGTTTTAATTACACTTTTAAGCATTTAAGACTATTATCAATTATCAAATCCAAAAGAATATCAAACCATTTTTGGTAATATGTTTTTAATGCCTTGAATGAACTAAGCATGGAAATTCAATCAAACACCTTAGGCTTGTCCATGTCATATGAACGTTGGTGCAATACCCGTTCATGTACTAGGATATCAAAACACTGTATATACCAATAAGCACGCTGATAAATGTGTAAAATACACACATGAATTCTTTCAGCCTGATGGCCAGTCTATAAGTTTTAAAGAATGTTGTGATGTATGCGTTTGTCTACCACACTGAAATTATTTCACTGTGTCTTGAAAAAGGAAAGAAATTATAATGTCAATGATGCTATTTATAACTCTCCTTATAATCATGAAACACGCGGTGATGACGAACAGGTTTCGAGCTCAAAGTCCACTAAAGAGCACAAGACAAGAGAGAAGCAAACACGGACTTTCAAAACAAGAGATTGTGAGGTTTTGGTTTACCTTCTTTTTATTTTTGTCTGTATATTTTTTAGTTCATTATAAGCAAAAAATTTTCCAGGGCGATAAACAGTGTATATAATATTAATATCTTATTGTTTGTAAGTTTGGTAAAATCAGGGTTCACGAACCTTAGAACGATTTATTGAATTTTGATGTATGTATTGGCTGTGAAAAAGATAATTACCATTAGAAGGCGCCCTGACATCTACACAAATGGTCAAACAAGAATAAATTCTCGCTGGTTAAACCAAAAGTACTTCTTTGTATAATTGTTATCGCCTCCCATGCACTTGTGTACAACAAAAAGACTACAGCACTACATATAAATAATTTCCAGATAATCAAGTGTTTCAAATGTAATATTATCTTTAAAAAAAGTACTTCAAATCCAACCAAATAAAATACACCTGATATCAAAACGTTATTAAGAGTAATTAAACTAATAATTTAGAGACGTGTTTCTTTTATGTTAATTTAAAGACGTTTTATTTTAACTGACTTCCAAATTTTCTCAAAGAAAGTGAAATTAATAGAGGACTTTAAAATTCCGATAATACGTTTTTTTTATTTGTGTTCTCTATGTTTTTCAGTTCTTCATAATGAAGTCTGAAAATGGCTCCTCAGAGCTGTTGTTGGTTGTTGCTTTACACAATTGTTATCAATATTTTCTTTCAAATAAATAAATAAGTGATAATTTCTATTGAGGAAATGACGATGTATATATTATCATAGTAAGATTTTTTCACCTAGGTGTGCACCATACAGACATTTAAAAATAAGGTGGAGGTTATCAAAGGACGCCATGTATTATATGGTAAACACCTAACTTTTAGATGATGAAAAACATCTGTAGAGGATATCTAGAGACGTAGAAAGGAGCATTAATGTGGTAAATAGACGAAAAGAAATCTTATTTAGAATATAGTCTCTGAAATTATGATTTTTAAAAAATAAACAAAAATTTAGTTTCGTTTTCATATAATCATTACATGTACCCAGAGAGCATATTAGAGGGTATTCATAAATGAGATAAAGAATAATTTGACTCTTGTAAAAAGAATGTGATCGCTATTTATTGAAATATATATTATAATTATAGTGATGAATGTATGCTTTAATCTTGTAATGATCGTTAAAATAGCCACAAAAAAGGACTGCGACACAAAACATTTATTGGGTTATTTTTCAAATAATCTCTTGAATTTTCTTAACTTTGTACATTGTTTAAATATCAAATTAATTGTCGATTGTAACGTCTTTTCGGATAATGAATTTTATCAAAGTTTTATCCTCGAACATTTTCTAACAATGTTTAAAGTGCATATCTCTTTTTTGCAATCAAAACATTCTGAAAAATGCATATATGTTGAATTAATCTATAATCGTAGTGAAATGACGATACGTGTTGAAGAGTTTTTTGTTTATGCCCCCCCCCCCCCCACTCTAAACTAGGCTTTAAAGAAAATCAGACATCATTAATATCTTTATCATAACTTTTAAAATATAAACAAAAATTTTGTTTTGTTTTACCATATGCTACATGTACCCACAGGACACTTTAAGAGGGTAATTAAAAATGAGATAAAGAAAAGTTTGACTCTTGTAAAGACTATGTGATCGCTAATTATTGAAATATACATTATAATTATGTTGATAAATGTATGCTTTACATTTGAAATAATTGTTAAAATAGTAACAAGAAAGGGCTGTGACACAGATTATCTGTGTGCATTTTTAAAATATTCTCTAGGGGTTACATAATACATTGCATTGTTAATTTCAAAGATAAGGGTTGTTTGTAACATTTTTTCTGATAATGTATTTCATCATAGTTTTATTTAAGTACCTCTCAAGGTATTCAAAGTGCTCATTTCGTTTTGGAATCAAGACATGAAATTTTTCATATGCTACATTGATGAAATATACTCGTCGTGAAATGACGATACGTGTTTAAGAGTTTCTCTCTCTCTCTCTCGCTCTCTCTCTCTCTCTCTTTCTCTCTCTCTCTCTCCCTCTCTCTAAACTACATTACATGTATAAAGAAAATAAGACAAGGAAACCATTAATGTTATTTCAAATACATAATAAATGATCTAAAAAGAAAATCTATAACCACATTTACAGACTGTTAAGTGGACATAAACTACAGATACTCTTGTACAATTACGATGTGGGATATATAGTGCCTAGTAGGAATAAGTATCCTCTATTGACAGACCACACAGGCCGTGTGCACTTCCTGCATGTACGTATTGAAAAGATAGACGGGAAATTATGTAGCGAAATTCAGTTAAAATACAGAATATTAACAAAATCAATAAAATCAAATGATCACAATACTAGTATAAGATTCACATTTCTGTACATTTTATGTTTATGAAATTTGTTTGTAGCTCTTACAACAGTATGGATAAAACAGTCGACACTTGTCCCAGAAACAGGACAGAGACAGTGGAAGCCTCTATAAGACTGGGCTGTGGTCGTGACAAGTATGGAAATGACCAGTATATGTGTCTACCTAATTTAGAGACAACAAGTCTGGTAGAATTCTGTCACAATGGTATCATGGGCTTTATAGAAAGTGGTGAGGGTTATTTTCGGAAATTCTATTAATGTTTAGAGTTTTAATGTGACTATTTTATATTACGGAAATTGCAAATTAATTATAACTTAAGCGCGTTGTCAAGAGTGACATAACACAAAAGGAAACCCATTTCTACAAAAACAACAGATCAGCCTTTTGAATGCGATACTGTATGAACGCTTATTTTTGTGCTGTTTTATTTTCACTACTCAACTTTTGCTTATAATGTTGGTACATTTCATAACGCCAGGGTACCGTTCACGGTAGCTCAGTCGGTAGAGCGCTCGCTCCGTGATCGGGAGGTCGTGAGTTCGTATCTCGGCCGCGACTGACCTAGTCGTTAAAATTGGTAGCAACTGTTCCTTCGCCATGCGCTCGGCACTTTGAAGTGAAAGTTGCGGGTCCTTCGGATGAGACCTTAAAAACCGAGGCCCCGTGTCAGTGGCAGGCGTTGGCACGATAAAGATCCCTCACTGCTCAATGGCCCTGAGTGCCGAGTAAAGGTCAAAATTTGAAGCCCTTCACCGGCATACGGTGACGTCTCCATATGAGTGAAAAGTTCTAGAGAGGGACGTTAAACAATATACAATCAATCAATCATTACGCCAGGGTAAACTATTAGCCACGGGCTTACAATGGTAAACAGTATTATGTACAGCTTATGAACAAAAATTAGCAATTTTATTATAAAATGATAACCTGTTCTAAAGATTATAAAACACATTCTATACTCACGGTCAATAGAAACGCACCATACCCTAATTTTAGAATGAAAATTAGATACAGGTTATGACTATGTACAAAAAATATTAGGACATCTGTTACTTTGCCAAATCAGTTATTTAACGGTTGAATGAAATTTTACCATTACCGGATTTTGCTTTTTAGCCCTCTTAACAGAATTCAAAATTTTGCATTTTTAATGAAATCTTAAACATTTTTTTCAGTTTTCAAGGTTTTGTAGCTGTTAATCATAACTATTGTACTAAAAGGCCGGGAGAGAATTCTTCTTTATTTACCGGATGTGATGCCTAAATTTCCTCAAAATGACTGATTTTCATTGCTTATGCTGGAAATTCTCAAAATAATGGGAAAAAAGAGCTGCAGATGCAAATGAACATTATATCACGACACATCAAGCTCATGTGTTAAAATAGCATAAATGACATTTTCTTGAACGAAAATCTAAAAGTTACTATACTCCGCCAGGTTAAGGAAAATTCGACTACAATATCTGAAAATCACGTCTTTAAAAATGCCCAAGAATATTAATTTTGCCCAGACATTGATAAACTTAATGCATAGTAGAAATCGGGCTTCACTTGATGTAATTGGCGGAGTAGCACGTTTTCATTAAATGGTCGGAAGGGTGTATGTTTTAAGATTTACTGGGTTTTTGTTTCTTTCTAAGTTCTAAAAATAAAATTTAATGTTTACACGAAACATTATTTTTTTTTGTAAATTTACTTTTTACCTAAATATATTCATTTTTAATGTTTACATTAAACTTAAAGCAATATGAGCTGCATTTTGAAATATTTAATTTTGCTGTTAAAATGTCTTATTCTGATAAATTTGTATGTTACTTATAACTTTTTAATCAATTAGACTAAAAAAAAGCAGAAGAAAGAATTCTATAAACAATCTAATATACAGTTTTATATACTTAATCATTATTGTACAGGACGACAATAATGAAATTTTGATTCAATCGAGGCTTATAAATAATTTTCTCATCGCAAATATGAACAAGAAAAATTTATTAACATTATTTTTTCTGTTATTGAAATATTTATTCACAATTTTATAACTAATAATTTCGACATCAAAGTTGCTGCTCATATTGCTTTAAGAAGGTAACACATAACTTTTAAAACATCCCCCCTCTTGCTATCAGTCATTTTGAGGAAATATAGGCATCATATAAGGTAAAAAAAGAAGAATTTTTTCCCGGCCTTTTACTACAATACTTATGATTAACAGTTTCAAAACCTTAGAAACCCCAAATATTGTTAAAATTTTATCAAAAATTGAAAACTCGAATTCTGTTAAAAGGGCTAAAAGCAACTTCCAGTATACGTAGTTGAAAAAAATTCATCCAACCGTTAAATAACTGATTTGGCAAATGAAAAGATGTCCTAACCTTTATGGTACATAGTTATATCCTGTTTATAATTTTCACCCCAAAATTAAGGTGTTGCGTTTCTATTGACGGTGAGTGTTTATTATTTGGATCATGGAGCGTATTATATTTTTGCTGAAAGAGTTCAAATTTATATGGAATCTGTCATTTCCATTTCATTTTAATTTCACAAGGTCCGTTTTCAATCCTTGACTCTATGATCCAATTTTGAAAAAAAGAACTGAAAGCATTTTGCCTCTAATTCATATTGATGTTTGTATCTTACATAGGATTTTTGCAAATAAATTTTATATCAAAAGAGCATTTAACCAAGCAAAATGTATAATTTTTTTTGGCAAACAAATTGAGTTTATCCTGAAATAAATCCTTTTAAACTTTTGAATTTTATATCTTTTAATATATTTCAGGTTATTGTCTGAAGACTGCAGAGGATAAACTGTTTACACACAACTGTTCCCATTTTGTTTCTGGCTGTCCAGATGTCGACTTCCGCAGTAACGAAATCTACAAATGTAAGGATTATTTTCTTTCCAATATTTAGAAAAACTGATATCTTTAAACAATTTTTTGAAGTATGATCTTATTTGCTTGTATGATTTTATAATACAACGTATCTTATTAGTTTTGACTGTCTTCAGACCCTGCTTGCCAAAACATTAGTACGAAACATCGTTGTTATTTAGCTGATCCATCATGTACAACTTCGTAAGTAATTAACATTTATTGTTTTTAATTTGAAATCATGCTGCATGTAGTATATGTAAATAAATCTTTTCTTTCTCTAAAAGCACATTGGATATTTCTACTGAAGAATCAACAGAAGGGTTTTCCTCCAAGTTTACAACAATTCCTGGAGTTTACAACTCAACAGTGATGGATATTCAAACAACCACATTACCAGAAAATTACACTACTCATACCTGGGTAATCTTTGGAAGTTTGGCTGCAGCTGCTGCTGTGTTATTCATTGTTATTCTGATAATAGGATGGATTGTGAGGAAAAGAAAACATAGACAGAAAGGAAAAGAAGAAAATAAAATTTCGAGTATGTCTTGATTTTACTCTTCTATATATGCATTACGGTAAATTTTGTAATACGTTTAGCTAATTTTATAAGTTCATTTTTATGCAAGATAAATTATTGTTAAGATTTTCTGTCATTTTATGCGGTTAGAAAGTTTTACAAACAGTTAAAGAATTTGAATAGAGTACTTATAATCTATATTATGTGATTTATTGAAGACGATAGTGAAAATCTGCTGCCAAAAGAAGATGAGGTTCTAGGTATGTTTAGTTAATATTCGAATTGTTCTTTTTTCGTTGTTCTATATAGTTAAAATGGGATCTATAATGTTGAATAATGTTGAATTATTTCTTTAAATATTCACCCCATAACAGGGGTGGAATATTCAAGAATACATTTAAATAAAAAAATAATCAAGAAATAGAACTTAAAAAAGTTAAAAGACATTGAAAATTTTCCTTAACTAAGGACGATGCAGAAGAAAGAATGTAGCTTTAAAAGTTTACAAAAGAAATAAGAACATAGTTTAACAAAGTTTGATAGTAAGAGTAAAAAAGAAGACAGAAACATTTTAATTTAGATATTAAGATTTCTGATGAACTAGGAGAGAAAAGGGATTGTGACACAGAGACTAGCTTCGATCGTGAATTAGAGGATGAAGAGAACCCGATATGTGAGACAGGAATAAAATGTAAACCCGAAGAAAGAGAGCACAATGGGACAGATTCTGGTGTCAGCAATGTACCAGATGAGAAGGTTTCAAATGTCGTAGATGTTTGGGTCAATATAGAAGCAGAGGAAAAAGAACACGGTGTAATTGATAAAGAAGAAATTGTTGTCATTAGTGAACCACAGGCATTAAAACTTGATTTCAGACAGTATTTTAGAACACAACGTAAGTAGGATTTTTTGTATATGGTCAACTCTTTATTTCAGTTGAAAGTGAGTAATAGTGAAAAAAAATATATTTAATTACTCTTGAAATTTTGTTATGAATTACTATTTGATTCGTATATTAGCTTAACAAGAATGAAAAAAAAAAATGTAATCCAGCTAATATCCATAGTTCACTGTCTAATCTAATATGAAATATATGGAGATGACTAACAATATTAAGGTTCAAAAGATCACAATAAAAATTGAAGCACAACAAGCAAGGACCTCTTAAAAATCCAATTAGATATTCGGTGCCATGTAGGAGTGAATATCCCCCTGCCGGTATGCCACACCTGTCGCATGCTCCTTGACATGATAGGGAAATAACGGGAAATAATCATTCGACAATCAATGCATGGCTAATTACCAGTGTAAACAGTTAGATGGCACTTGACTTAATGATAAATAGCATTTCCTGCCAAAGTCATTGGTTCCATCAAAGTACTTATGAAATGATGCTTTTAAGGTAGAGATTGATAGCTGGTCAACAAAAAAAACTACTCAGCTATGTTAAGGACCAATATGGAAAATGTAACCTTTGCTCTGTTTTAAGATGTATTGCTAATACTTGTAGAAAATGTAATATACCTATCAATTATGGATAGGCCTGGGCCGTAGTTATTACCAGTTATATCGCACGTATCAGCTGTTTGTCACGTGACTTGTATAAAAAAAGAATTGTTAAGCTGAATGTAGGAAATGGGGATAGTGCAAGGGCATACGCTTGTTTTTCAGGAAAGAAATTGATACACATTAAAAGAGGTTTATATCCTCTACCCAAAAACTGCTGGGAGCTAGTCAGTGCTGTTTGCGAAGTACTTAAAATTTTGCCGAAAATGCTTATAATAGCTAAAAATATCCACTTCGCTTAAATTCTGTTACAAATAAAATTAATGT